TTTATATATTTATGTACATAAAATTTTTGTATTCAGCAGAAAAACGAGTACCGTAGATCCATCGACGACTATCAAACTGCAGCACCTGTGCGACGTAGGATCGGTCTCTACTGGATTCTAGCAGCATTGAGAGTAGTCCTTACTTTTGTTTCACAGACAGGCTATATTCATCCCGATGAGTTCTTTCAGTCTATTGAAGTTATCTCTGGTATGTCACCATCCTGCCACCTTTTAGCATTTGCTTTATATTTAATATATATTTATATACTTTTTCACTTTTTAGGAGATTACTTTGATATTGATGTTTACAAGCCATGGGAGTTCAACGCTACCTTTCCAATTCGTTCTATGTTCATTCCTCAAATCGTCGTTGGTTTGCCTTACGCAATTCTCAACAGACTGTCTCCATATACATTTTACTTCTTTGGATTATCATTAAAGACACCATACTTCTTCGTGCTCTTCCCCCGGCTTTTTATGTGTGCACTCTCCTTTCTGTCGGATTATTTTCTGTACAAGATCTGTTTCATGTATGGACAGAATTACAGAGTCAGACTTGTCACATACGCTAGCTCCTATGTCATGCTGACCTACGCCACCCGTACGTTGTCCAATTCGATTGAACTGGTGTTGACTGCCTCACTGTTGTACTTTGTTTCCCGGTGTATGGCATATTCAGAGAAAGTACGTTTGACTTCTTCGAATATTAAGCTATATAAAAACAATCGATAAGATTCGTGAAAAGGAACTTATAAACTTAAAAAAAAATATCTTAGTTATTAAAATAAAAAATTTGTTAATTATATGGAAAATTACATTTTGGTGGAATGAGTTAATTTTCATATATATAATGTATTTTATATTGTGATGAAGAAAAGAATACGAAGCTCAATAATTAGCGGAATGTCTTTTCCATCTGTATAATTAACTAAGAGATCTCAATGTTTAGTTATTGTTTGTATCTCACATTGTTTTAAATCTCTGTTTTGTATCAGGTGGTATTGCAAAGTGATTATCTCTCCATGAAATACAATGAAGCAGCAACTGCCGTAGAACGAGTCAAGTACTACAAGCTCAAGGCATTGCTACCCTCACATTCCCTGAACGACTGTTTTATGGTGGCCACATTAACGGTGATAGGGATATTCAACAGGCCGACTTTCGTCGCATTTGCCTTCGTTCCCATCTTCTTCTGGCTGCAAAGAGGATTGAACTCAATGAGCGTTGGCTTCAAAGACTTTCACCTCAGAATGATCGTCTTTGTTCTTTGTGGACTACCGGCTGCGTTGTTTTTCATTCTAGCCGACAGTTTTTACTTTGGATATTTAACGATGGCAGAGATAGGCCAATTGGAGGTCGGAATTAACAATTTTGTAGTGACACCGGTTAATTTTCTCAAATATAACGCGAACACGAAAAATTTGGAGTCACACGGACTGCATCCTTGTTTTCTGCATTTCTTAGTGAACATTCCGCTGCTGTTTAACATTCTAGGGATCATTGGATTGCTGACATTTGCAAAAATGATACACAGGTGAGCCATATACAGAGAATCCCATTTTAAACAGTATGTGTAAAATAATTAAGGGATCATATAAAAAGAATCATATAATTCTATTTAAGAAATATTCATGACCTTCATATTTTCATGGAAAATTGATTTTTTCGACAATTAATTTTACCATTATTTTTCTTTAAATCATATTTTTATCTGAAACATTTTTTTTTTAATTGAAAAGAAATAAGTATTAGGAGATAAATATGGTTGCATTCCGCTTCACGTATAATGTGCATAATGTATCATTTATCCTTGTTTAATATTCAGTGAATAACAAGGATAAATTATGTGCATTATGCATGAAACAGCCTATAATTATTTAAAAAGAGACACTATAAATTGAAACAGTTGATATTAAAAAGTTAACCGACAATAATATTCATTTCCAGCGGGCTGAAGGCACAATGGTTGCATCTACCACGTCTGCAGAGCATTGTAGGCCTAATGACATTCACGTTCATTGTTCCAGTCGCCTTATTGTCTCTCTTTCCTCATCAGGAACCTCGTTTCATAATCCCGGTGCTCTTGCCACTGGTGTTTCTTTACGCGCCCGAGCTGAGCCAAGTCCCTAGTCTGGATATCGTCCAAAAATATGGAAATAATAAATCCTCCAGTCCCGTCAAACCAGCGAAGCACACATCCAAGAAGTTGATGCTTTGGTACGTCAGTAATCTGTTGCTGACTTTCTTCTACGCTTTCATGCATCAGGGCGGAATCTTACCGCTCGTGTCTTATATCACAACGGAATTGAAGGCTAAACCGCATCTTACTCATATGCACTTATATACTTCGTATAGTTATTCGCTGCCGACAGCGTTGCTACAATTGCGAAATACTCGCAGGATCTATCGCAGTAGTAGTAATCACAAGTACAAACTGATGCAGGACTTTCACTTATATGAGCAAGGCTCCATGCCTCTACCATGGGTACTTGATAGCATCGCTAAGAAGATCAGGGATTGCGAGGAGAAGTTTGCTGTCAAGAATATTCCCTATAGGCTGTATTACGCATTACCGGCCTCTGCAATAAACGAGTTCGAGGAATTGTCGAGCAATAATTCACACTTGTTCAAATTTCACGTAATCAAGACTTTCTATCCTCACATCTCTATGGAAAAATTGCCGTCACTGCGTTCACTCAATGGACTAGAACATTTATTAACTTTAAGGTGCAATAGTATTTTTAACAGTATCATCGATACTGTAAAAGATATTTATGAATATATGGAACAGTTTAGATTAATGTTGCTAAAAATCGAATACTTAGTGCCTGAATTGAGACAAAATAAATCGAGGCGCAATAAATGAATAAATTAAAAAGTACAAAATTTTATATTTTTAAATTTTAATTATTAATACAGCTTCTTTGACGAATAATTCAGAACATTAGCAGCATTTTATTGGAGCAAATATACGAAGAACATTGTTATACACAGAAGGAAAAACTGTCCTAAGGCAAGCAATTTGTGTATGAGAATGGATTAGAAAAGAGGAAAATGACGATGGGAATGATTTTCCATGTCACATTCCTATATAAATTATATAATTTATAATTGTAAGACATCTTATAAAAAATTAATAGAATGTTAATTAAGAAGTATAAATAAGACGTATTAAATATCAATCAATAATTAATTAAAAATGATTTTTACTTGTTTTATTCCATTTAAAAGTTTATGCTCTGTATGTACCAAGAAAAGATAAGTTTAATTTAATAAGATAGATACTTAAGCATCTCTGTGATCAAGCTTTCTTACAGAAAAACCAATTATTGCTGTAATTTATTGAAGTCTATCTATATCTAAGATAAAATTGAGAAGGCCACATAAACAAAATATAAAAATAAACAAAACTTTCCTTTACTCAATTCTCTTTCTCTTCCAATCATTCTCTGTCACTCTCTTTTGAAAATCAACATTAAAGATAGAATAAGTATTTTTTTAACATTGAAAAATTAAATTAAAAAAGTATATATTTCAATTTTCTCTGATGTAACAATTTATATGATGCTTAGCCTCTTATTATTATTATTATTATTATTATTGTTGTTGTTGTTCTATATTCTTTCATGTGAATGATTTTAATATATCTATTATTAGACCGAGATCGTTCTCTCGAAGGAAAAAATATATCTATATATGTATATAAAAAATATAATATACATAGTGTATCGAAAATTTTTCAGCATAGTATTGCATATTTTATGAATCAAATAGTTGAACTATTTAATTATTTATAAAAAAAACAAAGATTCAAATTCTCGGAAATCTTTTTTTATTTATTGAGACGCTGAACTTCAGTCGGGACACTATGTATAATTCTACAACTGAGTTAATACGAGGTATCTTTAGTTCAATACAATTAATCATTTCTAGTGAGGCGTTAATAATAAATTATTTCAGTATATTATTAACATTTTATAGTTTGATTGTTTCCTCGAGCAGCCCTCGATATTATTCCTAATTTATATTTTCTTTCTTTTTTTTCTTTCTAACATATCAGTTTTTAATTTATAAAAACATTGCTATTTATCTGTATGCAATACACGTTATTATATACTTTTAAAAATTGAAAACATATATTTTTTATTATATTATTTAAAATATATTTCTTTAATTAGTTAAGGTATGTTTATGCACTTTCGCTATAAGTCCAGGGAAGTTCTTCATTGAACTTGCTTTGATAAGCTGCGTTTCTTGCCGCATATAATCGCTAAAAATGCAATATGCATTAAAGATTGTTGAAAAAAGATAAATTCTGATATAAACAGTACTATTTAGATTATTATAAAAGTTAATTATTTTATCGAAGAAAAACGTTTTAATGTTAAGGAATTACTCACAGGATTATCGACATAAGCTTCGCAACCGTAGCACCAGACAGAAATATCACTAAAGCTGAGCGTGATGGGATGCTCGAACTCTTCTGCATGCTGCATCGCGTGCTGATTAATATTGCGGGCGCAGTGCACAGTATAGCACTGCAAGCAAATCCAATTTTCTGCGATACTAGCACATTCGACACACGGTGTAGTTACGTCAATTCCACCTGGGGGAACCTCGTTGACTGTGAACAGATGAGGACAGTCCTGCAGAGGCACGATCGCGAACATTTCTCCTGCCGTTAGAGCCTATATAGCAAAAAACACGTTTTATTTATATATTTGTGCATTATACTAAAATAATAAGTATATACAATATAATATTTACACTTATTATATAACAACAATCAATTATTCATTATTTTATCAATAATCTCAGAGAAATTATTGATAAAAAAAATATTTTATATCGTAATAATAAAAATTTCACCTGCAGATTGTCAGAGAGATATTCCGATAGAGTTATGGGTCGTGTTTCGGATTGTGAAGATGCTGCTCCTTCATCATCGCAGTCCTCGCGTATGTCAGAATTTCCTTGTTGGCTGCCTCTTGATTGATGCGTTTCATTCACACATTTTTGTATACTTTGTGACACTGTCAATCAAATATATTTCTCAGTTAAAACATAATAATTACTTTTATTAAGATTAAATTCGATGCATACCATCCAGATTTTTTGCTTCGCTCTGCTTCAATTCAGGATTTCTTTTCGCTCCAACTACTTCATTTTTCATCGTGTGTAATTCGAAATTTTTTATTTTAATATTCTCCACTTCGCACGTTAACTTCGAAATTTCCTCGTCTGTCACTAGATTCAAACAGTTTTTATCAATCGCCAGGTTCAAGTCTAATTTTTCGCTCTCAATTCCCTCTAAGGCGATCTTTGGTTCCATAAATATTTGTTTCAATTTATCCGCATTTTTCACATCTTGCTCTTCACGTTTATTAGGAATCCTCTTAAATTTGGAAAGTAGTCTCTCTTTTGGTAAGGACATTCCATACTGCAGGTTGGGCCAGAACTTCTTGTGAGTCTTCAGTACGTTATTGATGGAATTGATCGCGCTAGTGCAAGGAATGAGATTAGGATCCAGCATCGGTAAAGGATCGCCCAGGAGTGCCTTTGTACACATAGTCATTGCGTGAGAGATGGAGTTGATGTTGTAACCTCCTTCGAGACTTAGGATTATACGGCCATTGGCCAGGGATGAGAGCCAATGGGTTAAATGACCATAGAGTTCTGGACTTACGAGACAACCTGACAAAAATAAAAAATAATTAATTTATTGGGAATCAATTTTTTTGTATTAAAATATACTATTAAAATATATATATAAATTTTTTTATATGAATACATTTTTATATCATTTATATTATATATAAATATATGTAAAAACGAGTGTAAGTGAACATAGGAATCATATTAATAGAAACACGATCCAACATTCGGTTATCACACAACATCAGATTGGATTTATTTCATGAATTTGATTGGGATAACGTACATATTTTAGGCAAAGAGCAAATTTTACATAAAAGATTGTTATTAGAGATGATACATATTAAAAAACAAAAACAAGGCCCGAATTTACAAAACAACACACTTTCTCTTGATCCGTTATATATAGATCTTTTTTCAGAGACGTAATGCTTTTAATCTATATCGTTTATATTTGGTTATTTATTATTTATATTTTCACTTATTGCCTTTGTAAGTACATGTTCTGTTGTCCACTGTTTTCTCTCAATTTTCATTTTACATCTGTCTATCAAACAGTTATGTCGTGTCTAATATCTTTAAATTTTGTTCCGTATAAGTGAACTAAAGTTGGATTTTTACTATTATTTATATTAACTTTTTAATTTATTCACATTTGTATTACACAGTAAATGAAACAGTTTAATGGAACATATACAATAAACCTTATAGAAACAGTTCAATCTTGACAGTCATGTAAGTTTTTTTTTTCATTTTTCGTGTATATAATCTCATGTTAGCATTTCTTAATCTTTTGGTCTCGGTGGTTTTAAAACAAAAAATCTTTTTCTTTTTAATTAACTTAATAATTTAATGACCAAGATTAACTCGGACATCACCACGGTTTTTCTCGCATTTTATACGTTATTAGTTTATACCCGTATGCGCTATCATTATGTATTATAATTTTGTTAATATATTTTTTTTGTACTGAAGAGGACCTTGACCGTAGATCGAAACGTATACATTTAATATTCACTTTGAATGAATGATATAAAAATACACACTAATAACCAGTGTTGGCTCAAATTGACATTTGATTTATTATTTTTTAGAATTTTCTTTAAGAGCCTATTGACTTTATTGTTATTGATGTTATTATTTGTAAATATATGGTGTTCCGACAAATTTTTATATATTCCAAAGGTATATCTGAGATAAATACAAATGATAACTGATTTTGATGTTAAAATAGATTTACCTCCAAGTGTATCACCAATGCAGGCATCAAATCCGGCCGAAATCAGAACTAGTTCTGGATTAAATTGATAAGCAATAGGCATTACAATTTGCTGGAAAGCTGCTATATATTCAGCATCTCCCATTCCTTTCTGTCAAATGTAATGAATATAGTCAATATTTTTCACAATAATTTATAGTCAATAATTTTAAATTATATGAAACTGTATATACTATTGTCGAATTGCTCGTGAAATATATTTTTTAAATAAATATAAGTATTGCTTACTTTGTTCCACGGTATGTTCACGTTGAATCCTTCGCCTGCGTTTAAGCCAGTGCTTGTATAATTAGCAAGCTTGGAATTTGGGAAGAAGCTGCCATTATCGTAACGATGAACAGAGATGTAAAGGATTTTAGGATCTTCTTCGAAAATAGATTGCGTTCCATTTCCATGGTGCACATCCCAATCTACTATCAGCACCCTATAATAAATATATATTAGATTTTTCTAATCTAAGTTATTTTTATTGCTGTTTAAAAAGCCATATTATTTAGTATTATACCTCTTTACATGGTAAAATTGTACAGCATACATTGCAGCTACGGCAACATTATTAAATATACAAAAACCACATGCGATGTCTTTTTCAGCATGGTGTCCAGGTGGTCTTACAATGGCTACTCCGGATTGGCACTCCCCATTCAAAACCGCGTCTACTACTTGTAAAAGAGAGCCAGCAGATATGCAGGCACTCGACCATGTTTCAGAATGAAGATAAACAGAATTGTAATCTGAGGCTTGCTTTTGCAATTCCTTGAGTTTTAAAGTTGATGTCCTTTTGATGTCATCGATGTGGTCTATTGCATGAATCAAGGATAACTCTTCTATTGTTGCACTCCTTCCCTTCATTGTACAAAGAAATAAAAAATTGTATTCTAATTTTTCCTTTTGAAGATTTTTATATAATTTTCATATATATATATATATATATATATATATATATATATATACATCTA